CGGGGAGAGTGAAGTGACAGGAGCGACCGGGTGCAGAAGAAGGTTAAACCCGCGAGTCGGAAACGCGTGTTTTCCTTGTGTTATTGTTAGTGAAGTTGACGGTAACTTTGAAGTTATTTTGTTCCTGTTCCGTAGTTAAAGTTGTACCGAGTGGAATAAAAGTTGGAAGCAGAAGGAAGAGTTTAATACTCGGCCATCCACGGTACAATATGTTTACCGACCGATCAAAATGCGTTTTTTTGTGGCGTCATCTAGCTTGCGAAGCACAAAAGTGAAAGTTCTTTACTATCCGCCTCTTTTTGACCGGTATTTCGCTCCTTCCCGTACTACCAGTCAAAAATGGAACATACCCTATCAAGCAGTTCCCTCTGTCGGTCGAACTAAATAGGTACTTATCTAACGGATTGTTATGAGCCCGAAATGACTTTGTCTGTCACCGTTCGGACACCCATAAAATCTTATCGGTCTTATAACACTTTATTATAACGGCTTTATACACTACATAGTTATGGAACCAATAAGGGCAAATGTTGAGAAACCGGGCACTACTCACCTCTACTTCTTGCGGCCCACGCTTCAGCAGCTTTCTGCCAATCCATCTGTTCCGAATGACTGTATCCGCCCGACCGATAGGAACTTGATGTGACCGAGTTCCTACAGATTGGAAAAAATCCATTAATCCCGGGAAAATAATGTACCAATGGATGGAGAATGGAGCATCTTATAGACTTCGTATTTACCTGGATGGTAATCCGTGCCCCGGGGCGCTTCGGTGGTGGCTCATACGGGAAAACGGACTACTTTGACTAGCTGGGGTAACTGAACCCGGATGCAGGAATGTTCCGGGAGGCACCGATTGCATCGGCGATGGTGTCGATTGACCATATCTGCATATAAGATCAGCATATTTTTTTTGATGGCAACAAATTTGTGGTTTGAAAGTACCTCGGTGTCTGTTGTGTATGGGGAGTCTGGTAGGGGGTCATAAATGGTGTCTGTCCGCTGGGAGTGTACGGGGTGTTCAGGTAATTGGCCCCATAAGCTCCACCGGGGGTATGCGGGTAGTGAGGAGTTTGATTGGCCACAGCTGACAAACTTTGTAACATGTGACTGGGCAAATTCTGGGCGACCCGTTGAATGGTTTCTGCGTTCATGCTATTGAACGGTGTGCTAGCAGTACCTAGAAAAAATATCAATTGTAGATTAGTACTTCCATCAAAAGGCTGTAATTTACCTTGATAGGGAGTGCGTCCACTAGAGCCACTCATTCGAGGGGTGCTGGGGGTTCCACCTGGAATCGGATCCCTAAAATGCTCTTTAAACCATTTGAACAGCGATGAGACAGAATCGAACATTTGTTGTCTGAAGCGGAAGCCTTCGGGAGTGACGGTGACATATTCATGTTTCACTTTAGATCTGGGCAAATAGGACAACATAAACTTGCCAGGGTAGTTTTTCGCCGCGCTCACAATGTAGTGAATTTTGGCCGGGTTTTTTTTCTTCTCGTCTTTGATGTAGTCTTCAGCTTTATCCTTCAGACCCCCATTAGTGTCCTTGTAATACCTATGAAAAAAATGCATTAAAGAAAAAAACTATGATAAAAAAGCGCGTTTTACCTGAAATAAAGCATATCCCTGGCATAAGACGCCATGGGATTAACGTGACGAGCAATAATCTCATCTAGATCTTCAAACTCCTCATTGCCAATCCAAAGGGACTTTCCCAGCGAAAAGGCGTTCGTTTTCCCTTGCTCTTTCACATCGATATGTTGGTAAATCCCATCTCCGACCTTCCAGGTAATGGTAAGATGATCAACCCCTTTGCTCGATGGTCTGACTATTACTTCTCCTTGGTCCATGTCGGCCATGCACTTTTCTGCTTCCGTATAGGAAATGTTATGAAAAGCAGGATGAACGATCACACGTTTAATGTAAGTTTGCTTCTGTTTGTCCTTTTTCTTTTCGGCTTCCATTCTATTGTCTTTGTCTTCTTGATCTTGATCGTAATACGGATCTCTCGGGGGCCTCCATTCGTGGTTTTTATCTAGCAAATCGCTCGACTTCGACGTGCAGTCAACCGAGAACCGTTCGACATCAATCTTGATTATTCGGCAGTGTATCAGCTGACCGATGCCGACCCGTTCCTCTGGGTTCGACACAGTTTTATCACTCAAATTCTTAATATAAATGTAGCCAGAAATGCCATTGTCTAGTCGCAGTTTTACTCCTGTGGCCTGTCCGGGACAGGAGCCAGCATCGAAATGGTTCCACACATCGGACAATTCAGGAAAGTCATTTTTCAAGCAGAAAGGACATTGCCACAATCCAGTTTCATCGTTACGAACAGGATTGGCGGAGTCCAGTTGTTCACCTTGTGGTTTCCTGCGGGCAATACCAATAACACTAGCCTGGACCATTTTTCCAATATAGAAAGTATCTGGCGATTCTTTGGTGAGCATGTCAAACAGCTCCTCCGAATTGGCGGGACGATAAGCCGTTCGCAGATCCTTGTAGCGGCTGTTCAACTCGGCCCGAATATCGTACAAAGTAATGCTTTTATTGCCAAATCCTTGACGTTCCAGCTCCTCAGCGAACGCGTCCAAATCGAGATCCTTTAGCCGTTCGGGCGTCACTAGAATTGCCTCCAAAGCTCCGGCTGGATTCGCCCCTTCATCATCGTCATACTCCAGAGCATCGACAGCCATTTTACGTGCCCATTCATATGTTTCGGGATGCACTCTGGAGCCGTCGAGAATTTCGACGTACGCCTCGGTGCTGTCGCCTAGACTGTTCGTGTCGATCTTAATAAAGCCAGAACAATTAATGAAAACTTTGGGACCCATGTGGCACGCGGTCACCAATTGCGTTCTGTTTTCTAGCCGTTGATTCGTCTGCTTCAGTACCCTCAGTAAAGCTTGGCCTTTTCTCGGCCCCAGACCGCAAATGAACTGAATCAGGTGGCTCTTGTGCACTTGCTGAACGGCGAGATTGACGTCTACTCCCACTTCATTGGTACGGTTAACAAATTCCAAGCACAATGCTTCCAGGAGCTCCTCTTTTGTGATTTGCTCCTGCAAAGGGTGAAACCGTAAACTGAGAATTTCCTCATCGCTGTTGCACAGTTGTGAGTATTCGATCAGCGGATCCTGCATTTTCCTAGCCAAAGATATGGCTTGCCTTAGTAACTCTGGGTAGTCCCGGAAATCCGCGACTCCTTTATTCGAATTTGCATATACTTTGGCTAACTCATTGTCAATAATTTCCACTTTAATAGTGGGAAATTGTTCAGATTCGACCAGTTCTTGCACAACGCCTCGTAAGTCCTCTGCGATCATTAGGGCTTCACGCGATTCTCCTCCAATCGCTATGACGTGCGGTTTTTTCGAATAAATAAAGTTCCGTAGAGCCATCAAATCGGCTTCTTTCAGTAACTTTTCCTCCTGCCTCCAGCTGTTCTTTCTCTTTAAAATGTGCGGCAGCCGCAGGTAATCAGTTATATCACCATCAGGCGCTGAGATACAAGTAAATGCAGATTGCGAATAATCCGGTTCATACGCTAAACCCATCACTCTAATACCTTTGCTGGTGTTCCACTCGTCTTCGTCCTCCTCGGGGAATTCGACCTGATAAGGCGATATTTTTATCCAGTTGTACAGTTTGCGACAGCAAGCCTTCAAGACGAATTCCTTAGCTTCATTCACAAGCACAAGCTTGATTTCCGACTGCAAATCGGGAATTACGCAACGCAGCAGCGCTCTTTCAACACATTCAGCACGCACTTTATTCCATTCCTGGACGTTTTTGCTGAATTCGTCACGGATGTACAGCTGCTTCACTTCATCAAAGTATGAATTAGAAGTGTGGCCTTCAATGTTGTCGCTGATCTTAATCTTCACCAACAGTTCTTCTTCCGCAAGTGTTAACTTTAGAAACTGATCTCCTGTTAGGTCTCTGACCGGCTTATTCTTTATATACTTTAAGGCATAGCAATTGTGCGATTCGTCGATAACTTTTTGACCTTTTCTGGTTGGAGCTACGCTGATTTTGGCTCTTTCGTAGAATACTTCACGCACACATTTGCGTACAAGCGGCTCACGGGCTATTTGGAGTGCTACCATGTATTTGACAGCTTGTAAAACCTCCTCAACTGTCTGAAACTTGGGGCAAATATATTCTTTGGCTAATTCAGCAGGCTCAGTTAACTCTTGATCGACCTCGTGTCGCTGATAATTGTCGCGAAGATTTTCAGCAAAATGTTCCGGAGATAAACCAAATCTTTTAGCTAACGAATTCAGTCCTGCTTTTATGCACAGTGCATATGATCCTGATCGATTTGCATATCTGATAGTTTCCGGCTCTGGATCGTTGTTCTGCTCATCGTCCGGAAAGTCTTCGACGGTCTCAGCGCCTCCATCTTCAGCTTCAGCTAGTGCTTTCAATCTGGCTTGACGCCTATCCTGTTTTTTTCTTTCCTTTTCTTTGACCTTCCAGGCGGCGTGCATCGCTGGTAAATCCTGCGCATAATACAGTATGAAGTGATTGTGAACGTCGTTAAGCTCTTCAGCAGTTTGCACGTTTCTCAGATACTCAATATCAGACTCTTTCAGCAACCTGACATTATCGGGTATAGGTGCATCCGGGTCTTGCATAATCTGGTCCATTTGGTACGATCTCATTTTCTCCAGTAGATTGAGTAGATTTTCTTTCCGGCCTTTCAATTGGCACCATTTCGCGTCGTACCTGTACACCTTCCACAAGTCGTTGATGTTCAATTCAGGCTGAACATACTCTTTTCTATAGAAAGCAATAAACGGCACTTCCAGTTGTTGGTTTCGCATAAAGTCTAAAGCTTTCCGAATTTTTCCAACTGTCTGAGGGCCCTTGCGCTGTTTATCTCGTGCTTCCTGCAAAAGCATGTACGGTTATGATAACTGTTTTCTTGATTATGACAATTAAACAAACCTGTGTAAGATTGGCATCTATATTAGATACGGTGCTCCTGCAAAAGGCTTGTTTGTAAATCCACTCCGATTCGTCGTCTAGTTCGGAGGAATCGTCTGGGACAGCTGAAAGAGGTACGTCGCGTAGCTGCAACCTTTCTGGTATATCTGTGCTTCGAATTTCATTGTCCAAATCGGTGAAAAACCCTCTGAAAAAATTAACGTTTTTTCATGCTTGCAACAACATAGTTTCACATGCCTTGACGTACCTTTTCAGTTCTGAAGGTTCGTAAATTTCAAAGATTGACTTTTTTGTTGGCCGCTTCTTGGCTGCTTTCTTCTGACGACGTCTTCTCTCGCCTTCTTCATCTACAAAACAAAACTCTGCATAATTCATTCGACCTATATTTCAATGAGTGCTTTTGCACTAAATTGGTCTCTTATGGATAAGATCCAATTATTATTGAAATTTGATGATGGTGTATTTTCATATCATCATCCGTCAATACCTTCTTCATATTCGTCTTCTTCGTCCTCCTCCTCTTCATCGTACTCATCATCATATTTAGAGAATTCGTCATAATCGAAATCGACTCCAAATGTTTCTTGGGCCTCCTGCAGCGCGGCGTCGGAAAAGATTGGTTTCTTCTTCTTTTTTGCTATAGGCTTCCCATCATCGTCAACAATAAAATCATCAGCGTCTGAATAGTCGCCCTCATCCTCTTCCTCCCCAAAATGTTCAGGTTCGGCAGCAGGCCGATGGCTACGTTCTGAATGTCTTTCGTCATCCTGCAAGAAAGAATATGAAAATCATTTATATTTGTGATTTGCAACAATTAAAATAGTTTGATTGCTAAAAGTTTAAGAAATAAAAAACGAGACGCAAATATTGACTAAAAATAGAATATTAGCAAATCAAATTCAATTTCAAACAGAAAAATCTAGAAGAGTCTTCCATGTGAACTTTTTAATTTTGACTCTGATTTCAACTGATAGTTTTAATTAAATAAATAACCATAACCCTGAAGGTTCAACGAATAATCTTAAAAGGGCAAATGAAATGGGACTTGAATGTGAACTAGTTCCGGATGAACAAGCTGTTAGCAACAAGGCCAACAAACATACAGCATTAAGTTCTAAAAAATTATCATTTTTACCTTTCTTGCGTCTCCATCTCTTTCCTGAATGATATTAAGAGCAAAAGATCAAAAAATATTATACAGTTCTTCCAATTATAGACGATTATTGGGGCTCTCTTATTTGATAACTATACTTACATCTTCTGAAAAAAGATCATTCGCTATTTGCTCTCTATCTTGTTCAGCATCGTTCTCTTCTTCTCCGTCACTTTCTTCATCCTGCATCTTCTTCAGTCTCTTGAATTTGGGCTGGAGACAAGAACAAGGTAGTAAGTTTAAAAGACCAGGTAAAAAGTATAAGCAGCGCATGTTGACATTACTCGTATAAAACAAACTTACGCGTCTCTCCACTTTGACACCTAAATTTTCCTCAAGCAAATCGTAATCTTCATCCTCTAAACGATCATCAAGATCTTCATCATCGGATTTCTTTCTTTTCTGACCACGTGATGCATCAGAGTCTTCACCATCACTTTCCTCAATTGGGTTATCATCAATTAGATCTTTTAATTCCTCTCTTAGTCTTTCATCGTCTATAACATAATGGGACATAATTTTAAAACGGACACATAGTATACTTACTAAAATAGTTAATTTTCAACAGGTATTTCATGATTCAGTAAATTTTTTACTAATTTCGCAAACTTACCATCTTCTTCTTCTTCAGAACTATCGTCCATTGCTTTAACTTTTTTCGGCTTTTTGCGCTCATGGGGCTCCAGCTCTTCCTGCAAGAAAAATATTGGATAAGTTGAAATAACGGATGTTTTATGCAAACTAGTCTGTTTGATGAATCAACAATTCAGCACTCGACACACAAAGTTGTCCCTAAGATCCATTATAATAGCTGTTGCAAGAGTTTGGGCATCGTTTTTAACGAGACCATTTAGCACTTCGATAATCAGATCGCAGGTTATTGTTAAAACTTGTTCGGTACTTTAAGAAATGTTCACAAGAAAAACTGCTGCCGCTTATTCTACCTATTGGGTGCTCCTGTATGTCGGTCCGCGTTTTGCGTTCTTTTTAATTACCCTTAAAGTACAATAGAAATAAAGCAGTTTCAGTGGAAACAAAACATACGGATCGTCCATAAACTTCAATCATGTTCAAACGACCCGGTAAAATTTCATTGAAAATTAGATGACTAGTGCCGTGTACTGAAATGTGTTTTAAGAACTAATGATCGATGATTCGACATACATAATGTGCCTAAGATCCACTGCAATAAAGTTTTTGCAAAATTTTATTAGATATTAGCACTCTTAGCGAAGGAAAATTTTACCAAATGAACATCATGAAGTCACATAAGCTTGAAGTTTGAAAATTCTGGTTCAGTGATCAGCTGTTCGTCCATCAAAACAGTGAACTTGAGCGCAATATTTATCCGCATGTGTGACGATTTACGGCTGTCAGATCCAAGTGCAATGTTGCCACTTACTCTACCCATGCATAATTATTTATACTTGCACTTTGCGAGAAAGGAAATTCCCTTTAAGCAAATGGCTTATACAGATTCCCTTAGAAAATATTTTAATTTAGTTTAATTGGTTTTAGTATTGGATTTGTTTAGTTAGAATTCACTTTTCTCTGCTACAATACTTTATCGCGGTTTGGGTAAGAAATAAAAAATACGAATTACAGATGAACTGTGATGAGCCATGAACCTAGACCGATCTAAATTCAACGCATCTTAAAATTTAAGCTTACAATACTTGCACGAAAGTGTACTATTCCATTTACATATAACGTTCTGTGTAGTCTGGCAACGCTGCACAAAGTTTAGCGTAAATATGAATATTTTAATAGTTTGTAAATGTTTTCTAGCGTGTTTCTATGGTCTATTCGCACCTTTTTGGTGATGGTGTCGTTTGAGTTTCTCGGATTTTGTACTTCTCTATTCCTACCTTAAAGACCACTTCAAATTAGGCACTGTCAGTGAAAATGTTCCTGAAGGGTCCATAAATTAAGCCAAAAAACACTGTGTAATCTCTAAGGTAAGAATGGAGAAAACTACAAAATCCGAGAACCCCAAACGACTCCACACCATTATCTATTGACCTACCTCACTACTTTCCTCTGCTTCGGATTCAATAAAGTCGGCCATTCTCGTGGTCAAGTTAAACTTCACACTAAACAGCCGTTATATGAAAGCTGATATTGATATTTTGTTGTTAACGAAAACGTTAAAACTCCGGGACTCCGTTAAAAATATCCGGGGTGTATTGAAACAGTAGAAATACAAGTTGACATGCTTAAAGCCAATAGATTTGGTCCATAGATAGACAAGTTGGTTTGGTTACTTCACTACTGTCGTCTGTCAACAGGATGCCCGACGGAGCAATAGCGGTATTGCCAACCACTGAACGAATGTCGCCAACCCTAGACTTAAAAATCGCCAGTTTTGGCGTCAACTAAATCCAAACGGGATAAACCTATTAAAACAAAGCGTTTTTAAAATTTTACAAGAACTTTTAGTTTTAAGCTTAAACCGCAGATAGGTGTATGTCCACGGCTTAAAACAATTTTTTTCAGCTCTGATGAATTGCGATAACAAACTTTCTATTGTACTTATTGTCTCTGATATATATTCTTATCATTATAGTGGTATGACTGTGCTCTTGCAAAGGACCTACCTAAATATGTATCTGCTTTGATAATTGTAGTTAAGTAATTAATTCATTTGTTGTTACATTGAATTATTTGTTTATTTTCTTAAACCTTCATTCATAACGTCATCATTTTGCTTTTTGAACAAAGGTTTGTTGTTTGCATGATACACTTTTCACAAATTAATGCTACTTGGCGTTTTGCCAATTTATTTACTGCAATAAAAATTTAAAATGCTTTTGAACTGCAAACTCGCAAGCAGATTTAAAACGCAGCTGTGCCCTTGCGTTCATAGATGGCGGCAGGTTAGCGCGGGTCCAACAGAGTGCGACGTAGTGGGCTATCTATACTTGTCTTTATCTATGCAAAGGACATAAAACCATTAAATAAGCAGAAGGAGAGCAAGACATAATTCTTAGCAATGCGATACTTCCAAGAAAACTGTTATTAAATTGAACAATTACCCGTTGGAAAATGTGTGTTGTAACAAAAGAACAGGTGCTGCAGCAGAAACAGCAGCAAAATTATAGCCTAGCCTGCACATAGCTGCATAATCACAAATTGTAAAAGTTCATGTTTAAATTATGAACTTTTCATGTGATTGAAATTGGACTTTTTAAATAAATTTACTCCTTTAGCACTGAAATTGCTGAGTTTTATTTATGTATCTGCTACGATAGCTCTCGAAATACCTGAAAATGTTTTAGATACAAGCGTTATACTCTCGTGCATGAGAATGAAAGTTTTCCAAGAGCACTGAAAAACCAAAAAAGTAAAACGATGTGACACGCATTTTGAACATAACCGATGATACGTTTTGTTTCATATGAAAACATGGATTGTTGTTATATAAAACAAGTAAACTACTGTCCACGACTTTTAGTTCTAATTATAGTTTTTTATGTGCTCTTCTTGGATTCCTTGATAGAAATTGATGGTTTTGCCAAGCATTTTTCTGAGAAATCCACATAATTCAAGATAATCATTCATTTGATCAATTTCCAGAATTGCAAATTGATTTATGCCTTAGGCATCCAAATTGTAGCATTTAAATGTTTTTTCTTCTAGTCCGCTAAATCTCGTTAAGTGCATCGCACCTTCTTAACCTCATGGCATTACATTATTTCACAGAAAAGCTATTACAATTAAACTAATTCAGCAACCGGTTATAGTTCGATTTAACCGTGGAGTTTCACACTGGAAAAAATTCGTTAAAATTCCTCTGCTCCGCTCAAATTTGTCGGCTGGGAACCGCAATAACCCAAAAATGTAATCACTTTTTCCTTTTTTTGTTTCAACGCAGTACCGTAGCCAAAATACCTAAGTAGGTACCTCCTACCTATGAATCTAAATTTTCGAATATTCTAAAATGATATTGTGATTAGTGATGGGCTTCGGTAAGCATGCAATATTTTGGGCCAGCTGGTGTAATGTGATCGTAAAATAAAGAATAGGTACTAATAGAAAATCGGGAATCAAGCTGATTAGTCAGCTTAATTACGATTAACCAATCGTAACCATATTTGTTAGTTATTACGTTTTCCCAAGCAATGAGTGATTTTAATTCCACAAACAGTCTGCTTCAAAATCTGCTTATTTGTTTGTAGAATTTGGACTTAATTACCTATTATTTCATGAAACGAACACGATCGGCATAGAGCAGACGGCTTCCAATCGCCTACCATCTAAAAAAAAACCTCCACTCTGGCTAAAGGCATCAAGGCTGAAAGTTTAAAAAATTTAACATCTGGCCGCCTATGTTAAATTGTCCCATTCTGAGAAATGTAAAGGGGGCCGCCTCCTAATGTGTGCCAAAGACATGAAGGCATCGGCCATTGACTCTGCTCGGATTTCTTTTGGCTTGAGGGTTTCTTAAAAACCATGAGCGGCTGCTGACTTGAACTG